ACAGGAATGCTTAGCTGTTGTGTGGGCTACTAAGTATTTCCATCATTATCTCCATGGACATAAGTTTCTTGTAATAATCGATCATGCTGCGTTAGCCTATCTTAAGAATATGTCAAATCCTGTTAGACAATTGGGACGATGGTTAATGATTCTGAATGCTTATGATATTGAAATAGTTAATCGACCAGGTAAAAATCATTTCAACGTAGATACCTTAAGTCGAATAGTACATTAGAATAAAACCTTAGAAATTTCATAAGCTAAACAGAATTTATAACTCAACGGACTTCTTTTCTGATATCAGATAATTGACTAACGTAACCATGGATTCAACAACATATTACCCATTATTACAATATTTAACTGACTTAAAAATGCTACTACACTTAACGACACAACAAAAGGAATCAATAAAATGAAAATCAAGATACTTTATAGTGATTGAGGGACAACTATATAAAAAGAACAAAACAAAACCATATAGACCATTAAAAGTTATCAAAGAAAATGAAGTCAACATTATTTTGTATAATCTACATTCAGACCTGCTGGCCGGACATTTTGCTTTAGAAGAGACCTACAGGAAAGTGAAGATACAATACTATTGGCCACAGATATATGACGATGTTCGCAAATACGTTCAGTCATGTGATGAGTGTCAAAAAAGAGGAGTAAATAAGCGAACTGAACCCTTAGATCCAATAAAAGTCAAACAACCTTTTGACGGGATTGGAATAGACATAGTAGGACCTTTACCAATAACTAAGCAAGAAAATAAATATATAGTTGTAGCAACAGACTATTTAACTAAATGACCAGAAGTGAAAGCTTTGCCAAACACAAAAGCAGCATCAGTTGTACCTTTCTTTTATGAAGACATAATTTGTCGTCATGGATGTCCAAAAAAATTATTAACAGATAGGGGAACTCATTTTGTAAATGAAAAGCTGAATTCTCTATGCAATGAACTGTGAGTAAAACACAAATTAACGACTGCCTACCATCCACAAATAAACAGACTTGTTGAACGTTTCAATAGAACATTATGTGAAATATTAGCGAAATTTGCCAATGATAATAAGGATGATTGGGATACTTTTATTCCTTCAACCTTATTTGCCTATCGAACAAAACGACATGGTACTACAAGGCATGAACCATTCTACTTGACCTATGGAAGAGATGCTACACTTCCAGTTAAAGTTCCGCATGAGCTAGTTCAAGCCAGCTCACTATTGGCTCGAGCTGAGCCAAATTATTTCGGCTCACGAGCCGACTCGGCTCGAGTCCAAAATGTGGCAAGCCGAGCCAGCTTGCGAGCCAAACAAGCCAGCTCATATGGCTTAAATTATTAACAAAAATCCGAAAAAAAATTTCAGAGTAATTGAAAAGTTCCAAAAAGCGATTTCCTTCAAGAGAATCGTCTCCGAAATAGTTTCCTTCAAGAGAAATGTCTTCAAATTGATTCTCTTGAAGCGAAAATACTTCCGGAATGTTTTTCTTTAAGAATTATGCTCCCAGAGCATCATTCTTTAAGAAATTCGCTTCTAAAGCGTTGTTCTTTAAGAATTTCACTCCAGGAGTATTTTACTTTAAGAATTTTGCTCCAGGAGCGTTTTTCTTTAAGAATTTCGCTCCAGGAGCGTCTTTCTTTAAGAAATTCACTTCCAGAGCACTTTTCTTTAAGAATTTCGCTTCCAGAACGTTGTTCTTTAAGAATTTTGCTTCAGAAGCGTTTTTCTTTAAGAATTACGCTCCTGGAGCGTTTTTTCTTTAAGAATTTCGCTCCAGGAGCTTTTTTCTTTAAAAAGCCTCTGGGAACGATTCCCTTCAAGGAAACGCCTCTGGGAACAATTCCCTTAAAAGAAACGCCTCCAGAAACGTTTCATTTCAATGGAAAAGCCACAGAGGCTATTCCTTCAAAAAAATGCTCCAAAAGCGTTATAATTTAAAATTAACGCTTCAGAAGCGTTTTTATTAAATGTAACGCTCTGGAAGTATTATTTTTTTAAATTTAACGCTCTGGAAGCATTTTTATTTAAAAGAAACACTCTGAAAGCGTTATTTTTTTAAATCTAATGCTCTGGAAGCGTTATTTTTTTAAATCTAACGCTCCGGAAGCATTATTTTTTTAAATCTAACGCTCTGAAAGTGTTTTTATTTAAAAGAAATGCTCCAGAAGTGTTATTATTTAAAAATAATATTCTGAAAGCATTATAAATTAAAAAACACACTTCTGAAGCGTTAAATTTATAAAAGAAACGCTCTGGAAGCGTTATAATTTAAAAATAATGCTCCAGAAGCATTTTTATTAAATGTAACGCTCCGGAATCATTATTTTTTTAAATTTAATGCTCTGGAAGCATTTTTATTTAAAAGAAACGCTCCAGAAGCATTATTTTTTTAAATTTAACGCTCCAGAAGCATTTTTATTTAAAAGAAGTGTTCCGGAAGCGTTATAATTTAAAAATAATGCTCCAAAACGTTATTCTTCGAAGAAAACGTTACTGAATCATTTTTTTTCAAAGAAATCATTACCGGAATCGTTTAACTTCGAAGAATCGTTTCTGGAATCATTAACTTCAAAGAAATCATTACCGAAAGCATTTTTCTTCGAAGTTAATATTCCTAGATTGTTTTTTTCAAAAATGAAAAATCCAAGCTGACAAGCCGAGCTGTGCTACGAGCTGAGCCACAGCATGAGCTAGCTTGATTGGCTTACAAGCATTTTATAGCAGCTTGAGCTGAGCTTTCGCAAGCTGGCTCGTAAGGCTCGCGAGCCAGCTCGGCTTATGTGAAGCTTTACTTTCAGTAGAGTTTCAAATATAAACAATAATACACAAGTCTCACAAGCAACAGATGATACGACAGATCTTTTGAATCATGTGCGACAAATAACAGAAAGGATGGATTATGAAATTAATGAGGCACAGGCAAATATCAAAAAGTCCTAACAGAAGCAAAAGGACCAATATGACGAGAAACTGCCAAAAGTACAACCATTTAAAGTAGGAGACCTAGTCCTAATATACAAAAGTAATATTCATGATAAAAGAAACTTGAAGATCGCTGGAAGGGACTGTATTACATTCATGATGATCTTGGTAACAGTGTATACAAATTAAGGACCATGGACAGAAAGATCCTCAAAACACCAATAAATAGTGCAAGGTTAAAACAGTATCACCAGCGTGCCTTACCTGAACCTATTGTATTAATAGAAAATTAAAACCTAGAAAGTTCTGGAAATATTTATAATCTATATAAATAGAACCTTGGTATTATAACTTTCAACATCAAGGAAAAATAAAAACTCTTGACACACTTCCAACATATGAAGAAACTTTCTCTCGCAATTTTCAATTAATTCATGAGGATTTACAAATAACTGTTCCAACTAAAGTAATATATCTTGGTTCACCTTATGACGATACAATGACTATGGAAATGAAGTTTTCTTTAGCATATCGAATGCTACTACGAGCTAAGTGAATAAATAATAGGATTTCAATATTGACTAATGCCTTTTATATTGGAAAATTATTAGAAACTCAAGAAGACCCAATTCTACAAACAATGTACTTCAGAAAACTTACAAAACACTATTATCGAGCATCTATTCGAGTATATTATATTTTTGAATTTTTGGGACCAGAACAAATTACAAGAACAAGGCATATTACTTTAAAAACAATTGTGAACTTAAGTACCGCTGAATATAATGATCTCGTAGATAAAGCTGCTAATATATTTGCGAGAACGCAAAATCTAGAAGGAGAGTGATGTTACATGAAAATGACATGGATAACTCAGATGACGAATATGATTGCGGTGACTAAAATGTCATATAAGTCTTCTATGTCATATATCTTATATATTTCTTTTATTTACTATATTATATATGGGAGGTTTGCTAGGAAAATGGGACTCTGAGAATTTTTTATTAAAATTTTAATTTTTATTGCATTTTAATTTTTGATAATGTTAGATTAAAATGCAATAAA